AGTGTTAAGATAACAAAAGGGATTCCACAGGGTTCCATCCTCGGCCCCCTCTTGTTCTCTCTTTATGTCAATGACTTGGGCACTGACCTGGATCATTCCAGGGTAAATCTTTTGCAGATGACACGATACTGATTACTGCTGGCCGCTCTCTGGATGACGTGATTGCTAAGCTCCAGGGTGATTTCAACAAACTACAACATCAGTGAGTTGCTCTTAAACTAGTCCTGAATACCTCCAAAACCAATGTCCTATGCATCTGACCAGGACTAAAGCAGGAAGTAATTTTTCCAAATGACATTCCTTAAATATCAAATAGAGCAAGTCAAAATCTATAAGTATCTTGGGGTCATTCTGGATTCAAAACTGAATTTTGAAGATCACATTGATTATATTGGTAAAAAGACAAAAATAAAAATTGGTTTTCTGTATCGACACAAGCACTGCTTCCCCCCTATGTTCTGTTTGGAATTGATCAAAGCTAACATACTGCCTCTACTTGATTACTGACATCGTATATAAATCAGCCCCAAGTACTGTACTGAAGAAGCTTGACTCAATTTATCACTCGGCCTTAAGATTTGAATTGAACTGCCCATATAGGACTCACCACTGTGATCTCTACATTCGGTCAAACTTAACATCTCTTAATGTTCGACGACTTGTGCATCAGATCTCATTTATTCACGATGTACTTACAACAAAAATACGCAGACTACCTGCTGGATCTCCTCTATGTTTCTAAGAACAAATGTGACCTAAGGTCTTCGCTCATTTACCAGCTTAACATTCCTTATTGCCATACAAATACTGGAGGAAGGGCCTTTGCTATTGATGCCCCGAGGGTCTGGAATGCTATTTCCAATAAACTGCCACTTGAATCACTACCTATGAGATCTTCACTCAAAACTGCTCTAGAGGAGTTGTATATCCCTAGCTGCCACTGATATTCAGTGGCCTAAAATCAAATCTTTCGCTCCAGATGACCGCTGCAAAGTATGATCTTGTGTTTTGATTTAGTGTGCTGATCTTTAAAGGTGCATTGAAAAATTTTGATACTCCTACTGATGCTCCTGCTGTTGTGGAATGACCCATGCAGCCAGCTATGGCAACAGGGTTTGGTGGTACATATTGTTTGCTGTTTATTGTGAAATTTCGGTCACAGTTCCTATGATCACTGTTACATTGCTTTTATGGCTTTATTTTGTGATTTCGAAAACATTTTTTGGTTTGGCCATGTTTGTTTGTTGTAGTACGGAGTTAGACTGATGGCTTTAATCTAAGTTGTCTTGTGGTTGTTGTTTGACTTGCATCCCAATGGGATTTTTGCACACAGCGTTGGTGTACGGTGCATTTTCTGGAAGATTTTGCTGTTTTTTCCTGGATTTTTCTGTTTGCGCATAGTCACTTTAAGATGTTTTCTTGTTAATGTTTCTTGTTTATTTGTTGCGGTTGCACTCGATTCAAGAGCTGAATGGCTCACAGGGTTATACCAAATAAATGAAACTGAAACTGACTTGTCATCTGTAAGATGCGGCTGCCATTCTTCCACTCCAGTGGTGGGTGTACACCCAGGACCCCATTCAAACCATTAGTGGCATGGTCTCAGCTAGCTGATGAAAGTTGCAAGTGAGAATTTAATCTTCGCTTGCGGCTGGGATTGGCATCGTCCCCCACTTCTCCTGATGTCGAGGGGAAATGGGTGAGGTTTAGGACTGTGGCTCATGCAGCTGCAATGGCTGCTTTGGGCACACGGTCCAGACCTCCCCAGAGACCCTGGCTGACAGAGGAGGTGTTCAGGATGGTTGAGAAAAAGCGACAGGCCCACTGTCATAGGCTACAGAATCCCACGTCAGAGAATGAGGAGGCTTACTGCAGCCTTCGCTCGGAGGTTCGGAGAGCCGTGAGGCGCTGCAAGAATGGGTGGTGTTCGCGGGTTGCTGAGGAGATGGAGTCTGCCTCAGTGGCCCGCGATCACAAATCTCTATTTAACTCCATCAAAAAAGTGACCTGCAGCGCCACACCTATTATCATCATTAGGGGAAAAAATGGTGATCCAATCTCCGACCCCCAGGAACAGGTTTGCAGATTCGCTGAGCATTTCTGTGAGGTCCTGGGGGAGGGAAAATTCCTCAGCCAGGAAAATATCGTGGCACAAAGTGAGGATGACCCTGCTAAGGCTGCGGTGCCTCAAATATTGGAAGAAGTCACCCCCTGTGAGTGGCTGGCTGAAGTACCATCTGTTGAGGAAGTACTGAAGGCGATCCGGAGTCTGAGACCAGGAAAGGCAGCGGGCAGAGATGATCTCCCATTCGAAATGCTGAGGGAGGGTGGCGTTTGTGCACAGACTGCCCTATATGACATCATAACAACAGTCTGGACCACTGGACGGGTTCCGCAGGATTGGAAGGATGCCCTGGTGGTCCCCCTCTTTAAGAAGGGGGACCGCACAGACTGTAACAACTACAGGGGCATCTCACTCCTCAGTGTGCCAGGAAAGGTCCTGGCAAGGATATTCAACATCACCTCGCCAGGCACGCTGAGGAGAGGCTTGTGGAGCCCCAATGCGGTTTCAGGAAAGGGCGGTCCTGCACAGATGCCATATTTTCTGTCCATCTGCTACAGCAGAGGTGTAGGGAATTCCAACAAGACCTACATCTCTGCTTTATTGACCTGGTCAAGGCCTATGATACCATCAGTAGGCCTGGGCTCTGGGTTGTTCTTTGTGCTTTTGGAGTCCCTGACCCTCTGCTCATGATCATTAAGGACCTTTATGATGGTGAGTGGGCCCGGGTAAAACTACGTGGCCGGGAGTCAGAGCCATTCCCTGTACACCTTGGGGTGCGACAGGGATGTCCTCTGGCTTCCACATTATTTAACATCTATTTTGACCACGTAGTTCGTGAAGCCTTCAATAGCTGTACCGGGGGAATCTCCATTTGGTACAGATATAATGGGAGGCTGATCGATGCCCGGGTGCGGTCAAGGGATGGCTCCCTATTGCTCAACCACGTTATGTATGCTGATGATTTGGTAATAGCTGCTCATTCAGAGGAGGAGTTGGAGACGCTGCTGCTGAGATTGGAGCGTGCCACGAAGAGATGGGGCCTTACCATCAGCCCCACCAAAACTAAGCACCTGCCTGGGTATTTTGTACCATCGGACACTCCACCCCCACAACTCCCAATCGGATATGAGGCAGTTGTGGAGTGGAGAGTTTCCCATACCTGGGCAGTGTGCTTATGACCGGCTCCAGTTTAACAGCAGAGGTCTCACTTCAAATCAGTCAAGCGGCAATATATTTTCATCGGTAGCGCAACGCTGTGTGGAAGCTACCTGGTCTGTCGCTCCGCACTAAGCTTCAGGTCTTCTCGGCCATGGTCATTCCCTCCATTCTCTACGCTTGCGAAACGTGGACCCCCTTAATGGAGCATCTTCGCCGGTTGGAAACATTTAGGCTGACCTGCCTACGATCCATCCTGGGTTTAACCAGGCTGGATTGTGTGAGGAGCTCAAAAATCCTTGAAACATCTGGGCAAGGTCCCATCGGTGAGCTCCTCCGGCAGGCAAGGCTGCGTTGGCTGGGTCATGTAGCCCGCATGCCCAGCCACCGCATGCCGAAACAGCTTTTGTTCGGCCGGATCGAGGGGGCTAAATGGGTGCGGCACGGGCTAGAGAAGAGATGGAGTGATGTGGTACAGGAGGACGTGGAGCTGAGTGGACTTGCCGATGACTGGTACCAGCGGTGTCAAGATCGGCCTCTGTGGAGGAGGCTCGTGAAGGACGCTATTGGGCAGTTGGAGGCAGTCGCCCTCCAACAACAACGGAGGGCGGAGGAGCGATGCTCACAACAACGAGCAGAGCGCCGGGTGGCTAAAGCACAGCAGGTTGGCACAGTAGGGGGCACAGGTGCATCAGCCAGTCATATCAGTCAGTCGACCTGTGGCACCTGGGTCTGCCCCGTGACCTCCTGCCCGCGGGCGTTCGACACTTCACGTGGCCTCAAGGTGCACATGGCCTGGCACAAGCGTCGTGGTGACGTCACCGCCACTTAGTGGCGAATGGCGGTTGTTGTTGTTGTGTCAGTCTATGTGTGTGTTTAAATCGATGTGTATGTCGATGTGTGTGTGTGGATCCATGTGTGTCAGTCGATGTTTGTGTGCGTGTACGCCGATGTGTGTGTGTGTGAGTCCATGTGTGTGTTAGTCAATGTGTGTTTGTGTAAACCCATCTGTGTGTGTAGGTCCATTTGTGTGTGACTCTATGTATATGATTTTAAGTCCATGTGTCCGTGTGTGAGTTGATGTATATGTGTGTGCGAGTCGATATGTGTGTGGGTCAGTCCATGTGTGTGTGTAGGTCGATGTGTGTGCGAGTCTGTATGTGTGCAAGTCGATGTGTGTGTATGTCCGTGTGTGTATAAATCAATGTGTGTGTGCAAGTCGCTGTGTGCATGATTCGATGTGTGTATCAGTCGATGTGCGTGTGTTAGTCAATGTGTGTGCGTCGTGTGTGTGTAGACAACCAATATTTAACTATTAATTTCGGAATTTTTACAATCATAATGTGTGTATCTAAGTCCATGTGTGTGTGTCAGTCTATGTGTGTGTGTATTTCGATATGTCCGCGTGTAAGTGGATGTGTGTGTGGCTCTATGTGCGTGTGTGAGTCAATGTGTGAGTGCAAGTCAGTGCATGTCTTTTTTGCCCGGGCAACGCCGGCTACTTCCCCCAAATACTATTTTAACAAAACATCGACTATTCATGACGAATTGGAAGTAATCTTATCAAAATGCTAATGCCATGATAGGTGCAATTTAATGCCATGTAAGTATGGATTCCTTGTCAGCAGGTAATGGGAATGATACAGGTGTCAAGGGATGACTGAGAGATGAACCAGCTGTGCTCGCCAGTCTTGCTGGGTTCCACCCATTAATGTGGGCGTCGCTCTTCCAACCTCACCATTGTTGCAGAGCAAATACCTCCAACTGCCCTGCAGCATACCTCACTGGCTTCCTCCAAAGGCCGATCTTCACTCCTGGCACCAGTCATCGGCAGGTCCGATCACCTCCACATCCTGCAATCTCTTCTGGAGCCAATGCCATGCCTGTTCAGCCCCTAATATCTGGACAAACAAAAGCTGCTTCAGCATGCAGTGTCTGAGAATGTGGGATTCATAACCGAACAAATGCAGCCTCGCCTGCTAAAGAGACTCAAGATTATATTCTATATTGATATCTTAAGGATCATTAAGCGTATAATACAATATAGTCTGGTTGAATAGAAGACGAATCATAGGCAAAGCCAGCCTTCATTGTATAAGCCAGCACAGATGGTCATTTAAATACGTTTATATTTTGCATCCACAGAGTAATAGCTGTGGCCAAGAAGAATCACAGCTGTGTTTCATTAGTTTCTGAAAACGCTTGTCCTGGTGAAGGTCGTGATGGCAGCATGCTGAGTAGGGTAGGGTGGTCCAGGTCTCCCTTTCCCTGGCAACAGACTCTAGCTCAAGTCCAGGCACCGCCCACACAGTGTTGCACAGTCTAATGAAAGAATGAGACTTTGGCTGCAAAACCAGAGCTGGTCGTGAACACATTAACCAGGTATGGGAGCTCTTGTAGAGTTGAGAAGGTGCAGTATTGTATGACATGAAATTTCCAGGCAGGTCATTTATTTTTGTGGAACATTTGCAAGGCCCCATTTCATGATGGAATTATCAAGGCACAGAACAAGATTCCCTAATTCCATCTCACTGAGTACCCATTACCAAATCATCAGCAGATGTAACATGATTGACCATCAGAGAATGATCATTTAACTATAACCAGGCATTGATTGGCGTATCATTGTAACCGTAACGAATGCAATGGTTTTTATATGACCATTGGGAGCTTCTCAAACTACAGTTATTGAAGATGCTATGTAATGTAATGAATGGGGCCAGAGTGAATTTCTGTCACAAGCCATGTTGAACAAGAAATGGCTCGGACTCATGGTCACACAACATTAGACCATCCTGCCCAAAATCATACAAATCCTCAAATAATGTGAGCAGAGGCATAAATATGAATACAAATAACAACCCAAAGCCCCGAGCCTCTTTATGGTTCTATAGGCCTTAATTAAATTAAGAATGCAGAGATCTAGTTTCTGTTGAAAATCCGTACGCCTCTGCTGTAGTCAAGACGAACTGGCCACGTTCTGTTTACGTGACAACCCCTACGAGTTGGCGGTGTCGGGTGGTGGGGGCTTTAACTACACATTTATATATTTACGAGATCAAACCCAAACTAACCTGTATTACGGATGTATATTTGGAATTTGCGTGCCGTTCTCCCCGTGGTCGCGTGGATTTTCCTCCGAATTCTCCAGTTTTTCCCTGCACATTTAGAGTCAACATCACCACGCGTTTAGAGTATTTGACAGATATACATTTCCACACGTTGATAAGCCACTTTGTTGTGGACAGGTCGCTTCTGAAAAAGAGCAGAAAAGCTCAAGTGGGCTTGGCATGGTAAAATAAAAAAAACTGTAGAAATATTTAAAAGAAAAAAAGTGTCCAAGTAGCGAGCCAGGTGAAGACAAATTAAACTTTAGCAGAGAATTAAAGCAAATGCAATCAGGCGATGGGCAGGAGGCAAGGCCCAGCATGGCTAGGCCCCGCGTTGTAATGTTCCAACCTGGACATCGATTCCATACTCGCTGCTACTCAATTGATATCCCTACGAGAGAGAGCGAGAGAGAGGAGCGAGGCTCTACCTGGGTAAACAACAACAACAACCACCACAACAACCACCACCACGATGTGAACTTCTCACCTCGGATCTCAGAGAGCGCGCGCGCGGATCGGAAGCTTCCTGGTATATCGTGACGTCACGCGGCAGCAGGAGGTGACATGACGTCACTTGCGGGGTTCAACAATCAATCCCCTCCCCCCAATGGTCAGTGGTGACATGACGTCACTAGAGGGGTACACCTGCCGTTCGCGTCTCACGCCGTTGAGGTAATGCGGAGTAATGACGTCAGAGAGCGGGGTTAGAGTTTAAGTTTTTTTAGATTCCTTTTCCATTGCTCCCTCTCTTGAACAGGAGCAAGGCGTCAAGACCGGGTGCCTGACTTCAACAACAACGTCAACATTATTGTGTATAAAAACTTGATTTGACGCTTTCGTGACTGCAGGAATTACTCCTTAGTTCTCTCGGTAAAGTCACGTAGAAAGAAAATAAATTAAATAATAGAGTACGACGTTTCGATTGCAACACAAGCAACCGTCATCAGGGAGAACTAAATTTGAGAGAGAGACAAACCACAGACACGAAGACACACAGCCACACAAGCAGAGAGAGACAACACAGAGACACCCAGAGAGACACAACATAGACACACAGACAGACACACAAGCAGAAATAGACAACACAGACACAGACAGACACACAAGCAGAGAGAGACAACACAGAGACACAGACAGACACACAACATAGACACACAGAGACCCAATGCCTCTGTGTCGAGGCCTTAAATAGAGAGAGGTGGGTCTGCTGGAGCAGAAAACTTAGCATGACAATGAATCCACCCCGAAGCGACCGAGGGAAAGAAGATCGAATGGCCCTATGAGAGCCTGGTAAATTTGAGAGAGGTAAATTGTTGAAGAAACAAAATTTAGCAAATCTTTTGGAAATGTAATATAATGCAACACGGAGAGTCGGCTAACACACAGTTAACGCATAACCTGGTTGATTACGATCTCCAAATATTGCTAAAATTAGAAGTTAAGTATGAAATTTGACAAACAGAGACACAGAGAGGTGTGTGGAAATCCACCCCAAAGCGGCCGGGGGAAAGAAAGAGCTAATGGACCTATGAGAGCCTGGTACATTTTTGAGAGAGAAATAGGCCGTTTGAGAAAACAAACTTAGAAAAAATAGGAAATGTAATCCAATGCAACACAGAGAGACGGCTAACACACAGTTAACGCATAGGCCTGGTTGATTACGAGCTCCAAAGATTGCTAAATTTGAAGTGAAGTGTGAAATTTGACAGAGACACAGAGAGAGAGAAAACTTACATCCTCCCCGTAAAGGTGGTTCAAACTTGATTTGAAGCTTTCGTGACTGCAAGAATTACTATTTGGTTATTTCGGTAAAGTCACGTAGAAAGAAAATAAATTAAATTATAGAGTACGACGTTTCAATTGCAACAAGCAACCGTCATCAGGTAGAACTAAATATGAGAGAGAGACAAAACAGACAGGGAGACAAACACAGTGTACACAGATTAGACAAACACACTGTATACAGAGTAGACATACACAGTGCACATGTGATGCCGCAACAGCGAAGCTGTTCTGCCGATGCCGTGGCTGCGCCGCTGCCACCTCCAAGCGACGGGGCCGACGCTGCTCTTCCCTCACCACCCCCCACATGAACACACACACACCCCCGCATAGGGCCCCGAGGGGAGGTCACCTGGCCGACAGGTTTTCACCCAGAAGCCCTCTCATGGGACCAAACTTCACGGTTTCCTGCGGCCAGGGAATTGGGCGATCTCCCCTGAGGCTAACTCGCACTGCGGCGCCGTGACTTGGGTTGTAATTACATGGTCATGACGGGGCTGCTCAGCCACCGCGGGTAGAAAACACGGGTCAGCAGGCAGTTAGGGAGGCGGAGCCACACACGGCGGCAAAACAGGGCCGGCTATCTGATTGGTAGGACAAATGTGCTTGTGCACCAATGCGGCAGCCCCGCGGTCATCCCTTTTGATGTAGAAGGTAACGTGCGGACGTCTGAGAAAGCACAGGTCTGGGGAGAGTGGCGGGAAATCCAAGCCACCTGATTGGCCGGGAAGGCCAGCGGATCAGTGCCGAATTCTCTTTGATGTAGAGAACAATAAAAGGTGAGAGAAGGTAGGGATAAGGGGGTGGTGTTCTTCTCAACTCAGGGATCAGAGTAGTCACCTTGCCGGCCACTGGATCGTCCGTGAGACGAGTCTCTGCGCAGCCAGGCCCCACTCCCAGCGACAACTTCGCGCAGCTTCGCCTCTCCACAGCTTCCCGCACATCCGAGCCGAACCGTGAATACGCAAGAGAGAGTTGGGATTTAGCGTAAGATCCTAGGAAATGTAATTCCAAGTAGACGAGGTAGATCGGGTTTAGACCATCGGGAGATAGGTTAGACCTGCCCTGCTGACTCAGACTGATTCGGGTAATAGTAGTTCGCAGACATGCCGGGAATAAATCGTTAGTGATCGATAACAGCCTCGTGTGGTTTCTACGAGTGTGAGGAAAGTGCATGGTGGTGTGTGTGCGCTCGCCATAATGCATGTGGTCGGTGCGCGGTGTCACGGTAGAAGAAACGCCGCACCTGAAGGATTCCGCGAGTGTGTGCTTCGTGCTGTGATCCCGGTCTCCCGCTCTGCATGTGGGCTAGCACCAATCCCGAATATCCGCCCCCACAGTCCTTTAAATCATCTCCAATACGACCCCCCAAACGGCTATGCGTGTGCGAAGGACGTCATTGCCCTATGACCCCTGACCCCCCGTTCAGCGCGTGTGAGTAGTGCGCGGGGTTGTGTGAGTGGAGACGTCGTGTTTGAGTGGCTGAGAAGCGACGGATTGATTCCAGGCAGCCGTGTGCCAGCCCCGAGCTATGCCCCACAAACAGGACTCGCGGACCCGAGGGGCTGTGGCGCGAGGAGAGGAGCCGGAGAGCGGCAGCCCTCTCCCCACGAGCGAGGAGTTGAGTAGAGGCGGCTCTCACATGAGCGGGGAGTCCGGAGCCCGCAGCTCTCCAGAAATAAGCCCTCCCCCGGGGGTGGGGGAGCTGGGGGCCCGCGTCCCCCACACACATATAGTAGCCATACACAGTGCGCACACAGTAGCACACACAGTAGTCATACACACAGTGTACACATAGTAGACATACACAGAGTAGACATACACACAGTAGTCATACACACAGTGTACACACAGTAGACAAACACAGTGTACACACAGTAGACATACACAAAGTAGACATACACACAGTGTACACAGTTAAACCTGTACTGCACATTTGGTTAATGTTATGTTGGTCAAACAGGACGAATGAGACTAAAAGAACATCAGAAAAATATTAAATTCTCCCAAATACAACTGTCAACAGTAGCAAAACACGCGTGGCAACAAGGACACTCAATTGATTTTCATAATGTGCAAAACTAGCTACTACTGGCCAAGACTAATTAGAGAATCTATTGAAATTGAAAGAAATCTAAATAACTTTAACCGTTCAGATAGTGACCGTCTTAGTGCTGCGTGGAAGAGAATAATAGAATAATACATTCTTTAAATGAATGCATACAAAGGGCAGCATACTTTAATAGGGATTACCATTGGTAGGGCTATTTTCATAAACACAATAGACAGGAAAGACAAGTTAAAAGGGCTCTCATAATGTACATGTGTTGTGGGCATAAACTTCGAGGAGACGTCTTCTTAGAGGAAACACGTTTATTTCAGATAAACAATAGCTGTAACACTAAGGGGTATGGCCCCTGTAATACGAAGGGGTACGGCCCCTTCACCCAATAACCTAAGGGAGGTACAGCCTCCCTTCTAGCCGGCCCTACAAACTCCGGGCTACGCTCTCACGGTTCCTCCGCTACGGGAGCTAGGGGAGGCTAGACTGACCCGACCTAGCCAAGGCACGGGTCTCACCGCTGATCCGCTGCAACCCAGCTCTTATAAGAGCCTCAGTTGAGGGTCCCAGGGTGCTGGTTTAGTCTTTCGATGTATTCGGGTCTTGAGTGGACGAACACTGCCGGTCCCGTTGAGAGGACCAGATTTTATACACACGTTGGGGCTTACCCCGCCCCTAACCACGCCTCTTCTCTTTTTTATTTCCGATGTCCTGAGTTTAAGAGGTAAGTTTTTTGACTGTTGGAATTCATATCCCTTGGTTTATGTAAGGTCATGTAATGCCGAGATGTGATGTAATTTAAGGTGAATCACGTTAGTGTTAATATTATGTATGTGAAGTAATAACCCGCTATGTAGATTGTAGTTTGGCTTTCTGAGTGTGTGGATTCTTTATGATGTCGACTCATTGTTGCTAAGTTCTGAACTTTAACCGTTGTATTAATAGCAAAGAAGGGGAAATTGTTTAGACCTCGCCGTTGGCGTCTCATTGTCTAGGATTTCCAAGATGGAGCCCTTGGGCGCCTGGAATTCCCCTCGAGTAATTCCCCCCCCCCCCATCTCTTTTCTTCTTTGATTTGGTTTATTACTCTTTATGGTTTATCTCTGGGCGGCCTGTTGTGTGTGAGGGGAGGGGGGGGTCCGTATCCCCCCTTTTGCCCCGGAATTTATTGTTTAATGGCCTT